AGGAATGGGACTGGGGGAGCAGAGGTGGAAGAGAGAGGAAGTCTGTGGCAATCTACCTTGATTTCTCTAGGGCCCCCCCCCCTCACACATACACACGGGCTGCATAAATATGCTCCCTGCGCCCGTCCAACACATTTTTCTTGTCCCAACTGGGGAGGTGTGAAGAAAATCTCTTCCTTCCTTGCAACCTCCACACACACACACACACACACACACACACACACACACACACACACACACACACACACACACACACACACACACACACACACACACACACACACACACACACACACACACACACACACACACACACACACACACACACACACGCACACACACACACACACACACAGAGAGTTCTGTTAAGATGGACTCTGATAAGATGTAAAGCGAGGGAGCCTGTTGGCTTACTCCAAGCAGAACAAAGCAGGAGAATTGGTGTGTGTGTGTGTGTGTGTGCGCGTGTGCGTGCGTAGAAAGGGGTGCAGCAGTGCATTGCCTACGCTTTAGAAACTTCTTTTGGGACCCTTCTTTCTTTTCAAGCTGCCACCTCAGTAGGCTACGACCTCCTCCCCCCAAACACACGCACACACACACGCACACACACACACACACACACACACACACACACACACACACACACAGAGAGAGGGTGAAGGCGCGTCTCCCCCCCTCGTACTTCGATTGTTAATCCCATTGACATACTCAAATGTAGTTTTTTGGTCTCTTCCTTTGTGTTGTGTTGCACCGATGTGCTGGCCCACACACACACACACACACACACACACACACACACACACACACACACACACACACACACACACACACACACACAGTGCCAGGTGCAGTGATGTCATCTGTCTTCACTTGACAACATTTAATAGCTGTTGGTAGGTTTAGCTGAAATATTTTGCGTATTTTCTATTTATTATATCTATTCAACAACCAATGTTGGTTAGAATAACAATTAGTTTTTTTGATAAGTCACGAACAGGAAGTTAAAAGGCCAGTTGTTTAAATGAAAAACCTTTCTCAGACAAATTCCAACACTTGTATGATTGACCTGTCTGCTGAAGTAATGCCTTTTCATCCAGACAATGTTTTGTGTTTCTTTTTTCATAGTTGGGTTGAAGTACATTTATGAAGAAAGAAGACAAAGTTACATTTTTAAAACCACATATTTGACACATTTGCTTACATGTTGTAAAAGCTTGGTATGGTTTTCGTCAATGCTGGTGGCTTGGCATGTGGGTTTAATGTCTCTCTCTATGCTTTCATTTGTTATATATAAAGTGGCAGAACTGGTACCAGACTTGGGCCGTGTTTGAAGGGGTTTCTTATACAGAAAATCAACAAACATGTCAAATTGCCTGCACATTTATGTTGGGAGGTCATGTCCTAAAGTTCTGGTATGATCCTTTCTGCTTGTGGGAACAAACATGTGTATGCATTCCATGAGTGCAATGTTTGGATCCAGCAGTCGGGCTCTTCCTCTCTGTCACCAGGAAACCCAGCTGGCCCGAGGAGGTTAGCCAGCACTAATCCTCAGTGGAGTGTCTCTGTTAGGCCAGAGGTGATCTCAAGGGCCCCCCAATGTGTGCTCTGCCCCTCTCTCTGATATCCTGACATTTATTTTGATATGTGTCACAGAGTTCCCGTTAGAATATTTTTTTGCCGGTCAAAATGTCCGTTAAAGTTTAAATCTTCCGGACAAAAGAGAAAAGTGCCGGTCAAAGGTCTTCTTTGTTATTTATTGAGCTTTAAAACAAATTGATATGATTCGATATTAAACAAACTAATTATAGTAGATTAACTACATTATTCAAAAGTGTACAGTAACTTACAATAACACGGGAATAATAAACGGAGCGCTCTCTCCTTCTCCTGACAGCCCGTCAGTATCATGCAGCTCGCGGATCCAGTAATGAGTGACCCGACAGTCAAACTAAACATATCTATAACTAGTTTAGGTAGTTTGAGAGGTAATTAAAATAGCTACGTGTGATATTCTAACCTGAAGTGTGTGTTTTGTTCCGCTCACCGCTGCAGATGATCATGCAGAGCTGGGTGTCGACTCGTCAGCATCAGCTGATCTCTCTCTCCCGTCAGATTAGACTTTACTCGCGTTTATCTCCATATCGATCAGATCCAGCTAGTTCTAGCTAATGATATGACTACCTGCTTATTAAAATACACCTAAACAATAAGCGTCGCTATGCAACCGGGTGAGGCCACAAAGTATAGCGCAGCATTATGCATTTGTTTACATGCCCACCTGAACCCAGAGGCATTACCAACAGATCAACGCACAATCAACCCATACAGGACATCTCTTTCTCCACATTAAGTGTTAGACATTATAATTGACTATTCTTGTCTGTCACATACTCTTTTGTCTGTCACATACTATTCTTGTCTGTCACATAAGTGGCGCAACTGATGCGGTATTGCGCTAAGGGGAAATTATTTTTACCAGACATTTTGACCGGAGAGATTTAGATTTGCCGGTCTTCAGCATATTTTACCGGTCATAGTCCGGTAATTACCGGGTAACGGGAACTCTGATAGTGCCTGTGTTCATTAAATGTCTTCTTGTATGAACAAAACCAAAACATACAGCACAGTAAGACCTATAAAAACTGCATATTGAAATGTGTAAGACAACTATTTTAAACCAAGTAGTTTAAAATAGACATTTTCTTTCTGTCGACTAGTTGATAATATGTGTTCCAGTAGTGAGGAACTCTACTGGAGGGATGAACAGGATTCCTGAAACAATGTCAATAAATTCAAATAAAGAAATTACATTTTAATTTAAATTCAATGAGGTAGAGTGTGAGTACAACATAAACAAATAGTTTAGGGTAGGGCTGCAGGACATTGCGATTTTTTCCCCCCTGCGATATATATTGCGATATGAAAACATACAGGAATTGAAGAAAAGACCGTTTTATTTTTCCCCGCAAACCATCCTTTCTTGAACTTTAATGCTATACAATTGGTATTTTTTTAACTATATTTAACCGGATGAAGGATTTTAGTCACGGACGTCTGGATCTTAAGTTATCAGAGCAACAAGCTGAGCTAGCTCGGTTAGCAGCGCCAAACTGCCCTGGAGAAACACATGAAACTACTTTATTCAGTGTTTTTACCTTTAATCACGGGGTCCGTTTGCTTTGGAGATTTGATTGTGATTGGTGGTTTGCTGACAGAGCCTGCATGTCACTCACTCAAGTACCCCTGACATGAGAGCCGCGCAAGTTTTCCTTTTGTAGCAAGCAGCAAAATAATTGTAACATGACGTGTTTGAGTTCATTTGCCTACTTTAAATCGCACGTCCTGCGATGTGAATATCGCGCATGCGCATATCGCGATTATCGTCACGACACGATATATCGTGCAGCCCTAGTTTAGGGTCATATAAAGGGTATAGGAGAGTGGAATCTGGTTATAAAAAGAAACTGTGGAGGGTTATAGCTGTTGGCAGGACATCTTGTCTGCATCGGTCCCTGTAACAGCAGAGCTGAATCAGTGGTAGCAAAGTAGCTCTGCTGTTTGTCCCGTAGCTGGTGGTAGTCCGGATTATCCATCATATCTATCAGTTTATTCCATTTTTCTCCTCTTCACAACAACTCCAAAAGTGTCCGGTTTGCAGCCGATGACCAGCCTAGTCAACTCCACAAAATCCTCCACTCCTCCTCCTCCTCCCGTTCATCACATATACACAGCAGAATCACTTTTTTATTGTTCAATCAATGATTCATTAATTCAATTCAATGTTATGTTTTAATGACCTGGTGTTGTTTCAGGACAGCATCACACTGACAGAGGCCGTGTGTCTTAATGCTGGGATTACAGTAGACATGTTGTGCCAAACCACAGCGCAGCAGCTCTGCCACTCTGCCAGGCCAAAACCACAAGCCTCCCCAGAGGCTCTGCTCTGTGTGACAGCTACTCCACACACACACACACACACACACACACACACACACACACACACACACACACACACACACACACACACACACACACACACACACACACACACACACGCTCTGACATATACATACTCTGCAGGCGTTCTGTTAGAGTTCACATTCTTGCTTTCGTACCATGTTGATTAGTGAACGTTAACATTTCCTATACGTGTCGTCCAACTTTTTTGGGGAAAGTTTATGAAGCATTCTAGGACAGAAATATTATTGTAAAACTTGTTTGTGCATACAAAATGTATTTTTCTCTGTTCGCTGCTGATTGTTGCCAGATGGCAAACATGTTAGAGGTTTTATGTTTTTGAGCTTTGTTCTTGGGATGTACTGTCCAACTTTTTCTGTTCTTTTACTGTTGCTACAACACGAACAGCATAAGGGTCAGCAGAACATGTTGTGTTGTCTAAAGGGGCTTCAGTGAAAATGGAAATACTGGTTCCCTTCACTGTGGCTGGATGCATAAATAGTTTTCTTCTAATACTACAGTGCTGTTTTGTACACTGCCATGTTTGTTTGTGAGATGCAGCCTTAGTAATGTAACAGACATGATAGGCTTTTAAGCTGTCTCACCATATATTAAAAAACAAGCTCAGATAAAGATGATAACAACAGTAACACAGTCCAATATTCCAAACAAATCATTCATTTGCCCCTGAGGTAAATAAAGGAAACACATTAAACACAAGACAAATAATCCATTTCCTTAATATCTTTAATAAAGCCACCCTCATAAGATTAAAGTTAGGAATGTCATCGTCTTTCAGAAACTGTAAAGAGTGTGATAGAAACGTCTTTAAATAGCTTATCTTTTATCAAGCAGGGTAAAAGTGTCCTTCCTTTCAGCCACTGGGGAAATTCCAAAGTTTTCCATGAACGGGCCATACACAAAAATTCAAAAGCCCTCTAGATGAGAATTTGAAACGCATACTTTGGGGTTAAGAAAACATTTATATATATATGAGTGTAAACCAACGTCTTACTTGATCCTCTTTTTAATCTCTTTTTCAGGCTCACCTCTCCTCCTGTTTGCCAACCGGCGTGACGTGCGATTGGTCGATGCCGAGGGCGTGCGGGGTGAGTCGGCCATCGTTGTTAGTGACCTCGAGGATGCAGCAGCGGTGGACTTCCTGTATTCCGAGGGCCTGATATTTTGGACAGATGTCAGTGAAGAGGCCATCAAACAGACGCACTGGAATCAGTCATCAAACTGTAAGACTACATCCTACATCCTGCGTGTTGTGTTTATTCTGCTGCTTAATGAAGATTTACTCACAAAGGCCAGCCCTTCCTGTTACAGTCTCACTCTGTGTGTGTTTTGTGTTGCAGCCCTCAAAGAGGCTCTGGGAACTGGGCAGACTGTGGTGGTGTCGGGGCTGGACAGTCCTGATGGGCTGGCCTGCGACTGGTTGGGTAGAAAGCTCTATTGGACAGACTCGGAGACCAATCGTATCGAAGTGGCCAACCTGGACGGCACCTCAAGGAAGGTCCTGTTCTGGATGGACTTGGACCAGCCCAGGGCAATCGCTCTGAACCCCGCCCAACGGTAACACCTTTTACTAAAATATATTAAAGATTAGATTCTAGGTTTTACTTTTACTTTGGCCAAAAAAACAGAAGATACTGAGATCTACTTAGAACGGGCCGTTCAGGTGTTCAGAGCAGAGCTCCCTGTCGGAGCGGCAGAGCGTGATGTGCACTGAAAAGTGTTTCTGTCGCAATATTATTTAATGAATCGTTGAGCTAGCTAACTAGCATACATTGTCACTATCTGCTAACGTTAGCTTTAGCCTTCGTTTTCTAATAGTTTTTTTCATAGGCTATAAACGGAGGTGGTATAAGTATAGATCTTGTACTTGAGTAAAAGTAGAAGTACTCAGATCTTGTACTTGAGTAAAAGTAGAAGTACTCAGATCTTGTACTTGAGTAAAAGTAGAAGCACTCAGATATTGTACTTGAGTAAAAGTAGAAGTACTCAGATCTTGTACTTGAGTAAAAGTAGAAGCACTCAGATCTTGTACTTGAGTAAAAGTAGAAGTACTCAGATCTTGTACTTGAGTAAAAGTAGAAGCACTCAGATCTTGTACTTGAGTAAAAGTAGAAGTACTCAGATCTTGTACTTGAGTAAAAGTAGAAGCACTCAGATCTTGTACTTGAGTAAAAGTAGAAGCACTCAGATCTTGTACTTGAGTAAAAGTAGAAGTACTCAGGTCTTGTACTTGAGTAAAAGTAGAAGTACCAGAGTGTAGGAATACTCTGTTACAGTAAAAGTCCTGTATTCAAAATGTTCCTCAAGTAAAAGTAGAAAAGTATTATCATCAACATATACTTAAAGTAGCGACAGTAATAGTAGTGATTGTGCAGATTGGTCCATTTCAGAATAATATATATGATATGTTTTATAATGATTGATCATGAAAGTGTTCTCAAAGCTGGTAAAGGTGCAGCTAGTTTGAATGACTTTGTATACTGCAGGGTAGCTTGTGGATTTACTCCAGGTGGAACTTAAGTCTGATTTAACACTTGATTATATTTCACATCATTCATCCACATCTGTAAAGTAACTAAAGGTATTAAATACATGTAGTGGAGGAAAAGTACACCATTTACCTCTGAACTGTAGTGGAGTAGAAGAACAAAGTAGCAAAACATTGAAATACTTAAATAAAGTACAAGTATCTCAAAATTGTACCCAAGTATAGTACTTGTTGAGTTTATGAACTTAGTTACTTTACACCAGTGGCTATAAAGATAGAAAGACTAAGCCTTGCACAGAGGCATGAAAATACATTTTCAAAATGCTCAACAGTCCTGCCAAAATTATAAACTGACTGCTACACAATTCAAATAAATGCTTTTATATATTTCTATTGGATGTGACTCTTTGGCGTTTCTGTTATTATTAACTGCTTTAGTTGTTCCGACTGCTAAAATCCTCTGTTATTCCTCATTTTAAAGCCGATATTCCGTGGGGTCGGGGGGCTCGGATCCTTGTCACCTTTTTCATACCTGATGAGTTTGCATCCCTGATGAAAGTCTTAAAATATATTAGCAGCACAGTTTAAACAATGTCCCAGGCAGCGTAGCATACCTGAGCTGGAGTAGCATGGTGCAATAAGAGTAAGACATGAGTATGAACAAAGCCGATGGTTGAAGAGAAGGCCTGTTCTGCACCCTGTCCTGTCTCCATGGTTTCACCTCACACTGACCTCCCTCTTCTCTTACACACTACTTGTTGGGTCAGCAAAGCCTGCTCCTCAGACGGTAGCTCTACTGTTGTGGGTTTATTGAGTCCTGTTGGAATACAGTACAGCAGAGTGACTTATGATTGTGTTTTAACAAATGTGTGTGTTGGTTTGGGGTACAGTAGTCTCCAACCACGATTCTGAACTGAAACCAGAGGTTCAATGAGTCCACAGACCTAAGTTCAGGCTACATGTACTGCAAACTTTCCTTCGACTACAATTAAACACTGTCTTTTTCCTGTATTACTCAAGCTTTGTGTATCCATCATACTGTAAACAGACTGAATACCATGTCTGCTCCGGTAATATTTGGACTCCATAGCTTACATGTCTATAGATTACGATAACCACTGGGTGTGTCTGTGTTTGGAGTTGTTGACATATCTGTTGGTCATACTGTAACTGAACCTCAGTGGGTGCAGGGGGAAAGGAGAACAAATAAAGTTACTTTCAGAGCCCTGACAAATTTGGATATGACTTTTGGTAAGCTTGAGAATAGCATACAATTAGTTTAACAAGCTTGTATTTGATGTATAAAATAGGTCAGTGGTATATGAAATTGAATCATCTGCTTAAAGATGAACATGACAAGGAACAGTGGCAACGATGATATTATACAGTGAAGCCAGGTCAAAAACATGCATCTTCTGATATAAATCAAGATTATTGTTTTCTTTAGGTCTTTTTTTTTGTCTGCGATAAAAACACTGCTGAAGGTTAATCCAATGTGTCTGTGTCACTTTGAAATGATTACTGATAATCCATCATAAGATGTATGTCAAAAACTGAGATTTCATATCAAGCTGCTATTAGAGCTACAACCCAGCTTCCGGTTTTGGGCATTCTGGCTGCGCGTCACTCATTCACCAATGGGTAATGTTTAGATGGATTTTATGAATTTCCCCTCGATTCTATTGGTTCAAAACAGGTGTCAATCATCAAAATTGACACACACACACACGCCTCGTTGGAGATTTTTCTTTTTCCATTTTCTTCTTCCTGGTCATAGTGATGTAACGCTGCGGAGCTCCGCACACACACACACACACACTCAATCACTCAGCCTTATCTTTTCTCTGCCGTGGTGCTGCGTGGAGCTCCGTACACACACAGACTTGGAGCTCAGGCTGTGAGTGTGTGTGTGTGTGTGTGCTCAGGCTGAGTTCCGCGGTGTCTCGCTGTCTCGCAGACCCCACGCAGCAACCAGGAAACGACACCAGTAATCCACCTCACACTGTCCGCTCCTCGAGCCTCAAAGGGCGGAGCAGCGAGCCCCGCAACGTCCCGCCAACACGGCACCCAGACCCCACGCAGCATTCTCATCTGTTTGTCATTACTGGTGTCATTTTCTGGTTGCTAACAAACGCCATTGTAACACATAATCACTGATGTTCAGCTAGCTGGTTGACTAATCAGAGCACAGTGGGCTCATAGGGAGGGGGGGGGGCAGGAGCTCCAACAAGCTGTTTAGGACAGAGAGTGAATACACATACTATACAGAGATGCTGTATGAGAAACCAATGTGATTTTGGAACATTGAACAATGTAAATCTATTCTAGTAGACCTCAACAATGGAATTATGATCAGTAGAAATGGCCATGTCACGGGACCTTTAAACTATTTCCTCTCTGTTTCCCTACAGGTACATGTATTGGACAGACTGGGGAGAGGAGCCGAGGATAGAGCGAGCCGGAATGGACGGCAGCAACAGGTACTGAACCTTTTAAAACCCTGAACCAAGCCAACTGAACACAGTTATACGTTTAAAGTAGAGTATCCCCAGTGCAGCCAGATTTATAGAAGCAGTAACAATTCTACAAGAACATCACAAAATGAAAGCAGCAATGGAATGACCTTTTGATGTCCTCTGTCTCCAACAGGAAAGTGATTGTGGTGACGGAGATATACTGGCCCAACGGTCTGACCATAGATCTGGTGGAACAGAAGCTGTACTGGGCAGACGCCAAACTCAGCTTCATTCACAGAGCCAACTTGGACGGATCCGCACGGTAAGGCCGTGTGTGTGTGTGTGTGTGTGTGTGTGTGTGTGGCAGAGTCCTGCACGGGTCTGATTTTCAAGACCCGCTCCCGCGACGTGCAATACCGAACCCGCCACCCGCACATATTGCCAATTAGTTCCGCAAACCGACCCGATCTGTCGGCACAAGATCCGCAAAACGACCCGAACCCGCATATCATATGAGCAGTGAAAACATGCAGTTATTAACACACGCAGTTGCGTATTTGGCTCAAAAAGCGTGGGATGTTGGTTATTTTCTCCATCTAGGATGACACCAAAAGCCTCCCAGACGTTGGATTTCGCTCTTGAGGAAGAGATATTGACAATGCTGTATTCTCCGAGCTTCGCCTCAGCCATTTTGAATGTGGCGCGCTCAGCAGCAGATTGATGCGGTGCAGATTATGATTATGTGCGGTCCCGAGGGGGAGAGGTCTGAGGATTTAAACATTAAATTAAATTATTATTATTTTAATATATTTATTATGCAAGACCCGCGACCCGACCCGCATCTTCTTTGTTTTACCCAGAACCGAAAAATACCACCCGCGAATCACTTTTTTTGCGGGTCACCCGTCACCCGACCCGATGCAGGACTCTGGTGGGAGGGTGAATATAGTTGCAAAATGACTTCAGTTCAAGTACCACAATAGACTGCGTACAGAGAGTGGACTGGCACCTTGAGAGGAGACCATTTTTACCCAAGGGCCTGCCAAGGTGTTGGAATCCTAATGTAAATGATTTTTCCTTAGTATGATTATAATGAATTTCCTCCAATATTTTAAAGTTAAGGTTACTTAAACTTGTTTTAGGGGCCGGCCGGCTTTGGCTCAGGAGGTATATGGTTGCCTCAAATTGAAGGGTCGGTGGTTCGATCCCCAGCATCCTAGTGCAATATGCAGGAAAAAATGTATTTGTAGACGAACAATGTCTTGTATCTACATAGCGCCTAGAAACAAATAATGAAATAAAAAATGGGGGAAAATAGTCGGAAGCGGGTTTTTTCAATACGTCGCTGGGAGGAGGCTCTGTCCACTGCCCTGCCAAAGAGGAACTATGTTTTCCATAGACATGAATGATGTCATCCAATACTGTAAGAGCATGTTAAGGTGTCATTGTCACTGCTGTACTGTTTTCCCCGGGGACAGACCAGGGGGGTAAAATGAGGAAAATACAGACATTTCATAAGAGGAGCTGTGTCGATGACATTTAGAGCGCTTACTTTATTCTTTAACTTTGGATTGCTTTGTTTTCGGCCTCTCTGGGTCAGGTTTTGCTGCAACTAACTTGCTCTCTATTAACAGCTACTATTAATGGACAAACTTACATTGCCTTTTTGATTAAGATGGAAATAAAATGACCTTGAGTTGTTACCGTTTAATAATACTTTTTCAGGATCCACTATTGAAACTGTAGCGGAGATCAGCAAAAAGGTTTTCACCCTGTTTAACTTCTTTCCAACAGAGAAAGGGAGGGGAAGAGAAAAAAATCTGTACTGACAGAATGAAAGAAAAATAGAGAGGGAGTGAGAGAGTTGTCCAACACAAACAGAGCTGTGGTATGGAGGCCCCAGTCAAAACACACACTGCAACACACACTCCCTTAGCGTCCCTCGAACAGCACAATCTTTCCTTCTTTCCTTTATTGGACTTCTTTCTTCATATGTTATCATTCTCTGTGACTATGTTTCGACCTAGTAACATTGGAGTTGTGACTTCTAGCTGAAATGACTTTCAGTTGGTTGAGATATTTGACTGAGGTGTTATTTTACTAGAATAATATAAAGGGGCGCCATAAAGGGGCATAAGGCAGAGCAAATTCTTCTTTGCTGGTTATTATAACTGTAAGATCACACTTTTTTGTATATACTGCCACGAGCAGGACATTTGTTTGCTTGTCTCCTTCTGTCTTCTTTTAATTGTTCAATTGTCGGCTGTCAACTAAGTTCCCAAACATAGTATTAAAGGGGCCCTATTATGCTCATTTTCAGGTTCAAATGTGTGTTTAGTGCCTCTACTGAGACACGTTTCCATGCTTTAATGTTCAAAAAGGATAAACTCCCTCTGAAGGGAACTCTGGGAGTTTAGCCTTTGCAGACCATTAACATGCACAGAAAGAGGAAACACCAAATATCATAATAGGGCCTCTTTAAAACAGAATGTTTCTACACTTTATGTTTTATTCACCCTCTTATTATCGGCAACACACATTGTAAAAAAACGACAGCCTCTGCCTTCTTAGAAACTTGCTAGTCTAGCGTTATTTTCTACCTGAAGGTAATATGCTCAGTTGTAACAATGTGGTGTAGAGGTTGAAATCCAAACCAAACTTAAGGGAAAATACTTTACGCTGTTGAAATAATGCGGTATGCTCAGCCAGCGGCTTATTCCTATGACAGCAGCACATTCATTCTCCCTCTTATTACTTGATTCTGCGAAAAGCTTTATTTTGATGTAACCATGGCACTCATTGTTCCGCCAAGATATGTTCAAGTACATTAGGAAGATCTGATATTCTTGGACAGAAGCTGCTCATAGAGTCACGTAAGAGACCTGTGCACATGCAGCTCAGGCATTACATACATTTCTCACAGCTTTCAAATTAAACTAATTTGCCATTTTTTCAATTAATTTGCACGAACACGTTCACACACACCAAAAGCTGAACAGAGCTTTGAAATCTGGAGATGTTTAAATTTGCTCTTTCTTTTTTTCCTTTAACCACTGCTGGCAGCCTCCTCTGCTTTAACAACGCACGCACGCACACACACACACACACACACACACACACACACACACACACACACACACACACACACACACACACACACACACACACACACACACACACACACACACACACACACACACACACACACACACACAGGGCTAAAATGATGATTGATGAAAGCCAGTTTCTAGTGTGTTGATATTCTAAATACAAAACTCCTTTGATCCGGTGCCTAACTGCGTTTGTGTGAGTGCATTTTCCTGTAAGTGATTCTAACGTGTGTTTTAGGGAAATAAACACTCTCCTGAGCAAATCTGTGACTTGCTCCGACCGACACTTCTCTAGAAGTCATCTCTTTGTAGTAGTTTGGCCCCAAGAATCAAGAGGGGGCATACCTTTTCCAGTCAGCATGATATTATAAATGTGTTAATAATAAAAGTAATAAAAGAAGTCCACATTGCAGGAATGTGGTGTAGATAATCTGGGTCCCAGGGCGAGGATTCCTTAAGGTTCTCTGACCTTTCCTCCACTATAGTTTCACTTATACAGAATACATCTAATAATCTAATGAGCAGATGGTAATGAACACATTTGTGCTCCCCAGACAAAAAGAACATATCAATTCTTTCTCATGTCAAGATGATCTGCCAAGAGCTCTTTTCACTTAAATGACCGTATTGTCCTTCTCTAGTCGGACACATTTGACCTCTTCTTAGCTACACTGCTGATGAGGAAAAATCCTCTGTTTGTTGTTCAAATTCTTTAGTTGTTTAATGGGCTATCATGAAAATTGCAATGCTGGGGCTTCAAACCTTTATTTAATCCAGAACAAAGCCAACAATAGTGCTGAAAAAACTGTCATATAACGTCTTGCATGGTGTCTGGTTTCATACAATTTTGCCAATATTCGTCTGTCTTCATTTCACGCAAAGGTCTTGGGTGACGGCTGCTTGTGTTTTGATAACTTTTGGTTAAGTTCATTTATGGTATAATTAGGGTATTTTTGTCTCACAACTTGCAACTTTATAGTTTTTTTATACCCAGCCCGAGGTGGGTTGGGTGCTGAAGCTAATCTTGTGTTTAGGCTGCACCATTTGGGTATTGGTTTAATCATGATATTATTGCGTTGTCGTACAGCTAACCTTAGTGCCAAAGGCTGTTTGTGTTAAGCTTAAGCTGGTTACTGCATCTGGTCTTCCAAAACACATTGGTGGGCGAGCATGTGCATCTGTGGGTTTGAGGAATAGGGTTAGGCCCTTTGTCGACTGAAAACAATTCATGATCAATCAAGTAATAATACAATTACTGTCCAATTCAAATTGATGGCACGTGTTGATTGTGTAAAAGTAAAATGAATGGAACAAATTGCGTGTAAATACAAATAATGGGTAATAACATTGGTGAAGCAAGCAAGAGTGAATTAGGTTTTTTAAATGTTCTAACAAAAAACCCAGCCCAATGTGGCCATTTCTAGCTACAGTTGCATCATCAGTTGGCAACTGATGATGCAACTGAACGTAAAAGATGAACTTGGCTAATGGAACTGAATGAAGCAAGTAGACGCACTTACCATCCTGAATAAATAACACAGATATATGTGTTTTTTTGTCCAAGCATTTGATTTATTGAACACATAATATAAAAACGTATACCAGACTTCCTTTCTATGGCAGACAAGTAGCATTTCTAAACACAAAACACTAACCTTCCTCTGGTTCTTTTTGTTCCTGCAGTGAGACTGTGGTGGAGGGCACCCTGACCCACCCTTTTGCCCTGACACTGTCTGAGGAGACCTTATACTGGACCGACTGGCAGACCCGCTCCATCCACGCCTGCAACAAAAACAGTGGAGATAAAACCAGAGAGATCCTCAGTGGGATCTACTCTCCGATGGACATCCAGGTCCTGGAGGCCTACCGGCAGCCTAACAGTGAGTGAATTGTGAAATAAGATCAATATACCATCAAGCCTTTACATTCAAGTGGTATCATTGTTCTGTGGTGATTGATACATAATGAGACATTGACATGAGCTAATCCTATGTTCTCCTTCACTTGTCCCTCTCTGTCTCTGATGTGTCACTGCAGTCCTGACCCCCTGCAGTGACAGTAATGGAGGCTGTAGTCATCTCTGCCTGCTCTCTCCAGTGCAGCCTTTCTACAGCTGTGCCTGCCCCACTGGAGTCCAGCTTAAACCAGATGGGAAGACATGCAAACCAGGTAGGGGTCTTCTTTCATCAGCCACTGGTAGCCCCTGTGAGAGGGCACTGCTAACAGTTTCTTATTGTCATTATTCATTTGTTTGTACGGATATTAAGGCTATGATTATTTGTCAATGGAGTTATAACTTACAAATGTTGAAAACAAAGGCTCAAAAGGATTTGATAAGCATGTGAGATATACAAAATACAAATATACAAATGTGTGCAACACAACGTGTGTAACAATAAATAATACAAGTATTATTCAGTGTTATGGCTCTAAATCTTGTTATTGATTAGTCAGAATGGCTACAGTAACTAGGCTAACATCATCCATGTAATACGAGAGAAACTTCACATTATACAATCCTTTATTTACATGTTAACTTAAACTGAACATCTATGGGGAAACACGCATTAGGGGACATTACTGGAGTGACAATTATACAGAGGTTACCACTTAAAGGGTGCCATTAGGAAACGCTGATGGAGCAAGAGCAGCACTGCTATCCCTCAAGCAGTCAGAACAATGTGCTGAACTATAGTAGCATACTGTGAGCCGCCACTCTGGAGAACAGTATAAAGTTGTTCTTGCAATTCAATCTAGTTGTTGGTAAAGCAGACTGGTTCTTAACTGAAAACTAGCCCGGGACTAGAATGGAACTGATTTCAGTGGATAGAGGTATTACAAATGTTAAACAACTAAAGCTCCAAAGGATTGATAAGCGGGTGAGATGGTTAGAATTGATACATTCTATTTAAACCCAGCCCTATCTGTGGATGCATTCGTTTTTGTCTTTGGTGAGTCATGTTGTGATACAGCATGGAGTGTATCAGCTTGAGAACAAGTAAGAGTGACCTCTTTGCTAGCAGAGTGGGACACTAACTGACCAGCCGCCATGTTGATTCCCACGATTCTAAAACAATAGAGCCTTATTCTGCGAAAACACAACAGTGTGTTCGAGTGCGTCTGTCTGCTAGGCTGTGTTATGTGAATGTATTACATTTGAATGAAACATGCCAGCCAATCACTTAGCCACCGTTGACAATAAAAAACAACAATGCTCTATTGTGTCAGCAGCTTGTGTGTGTATGTGTGTGTGTGTGAGTCTTTGTGTCCGTGCTCCTAATTTGTTTTGCTTGGCTGGTTAAATTGAAGGCGTTTGTTATTACGCTGGCAGCAGAGCGTGTGTGTGCGTGCGTTTGTGTGTGCGTTATGTTCTTTGTGTGTGTGACTGTTTGTCAGGGGTCCCTAAGTGTCTCAGAATGAAGTGAAGCGAAGAGGAGAGGGGAATCACAGATGCTTTCCCTCCTTCCTTTTCATTCTTTCCCTTCATTTATCCCCCCTGGCCTCTGTCATTTAGGTAAGGATGGAACAACTTTCTGTGTCAAATGTGATTGGTGCCAAGGCTGAGAGATGCCAGAATTGGATTGGCTGGGAAAGAGCAGCTGGAAAAGAGAGGGAGAACATTTACAGGGTTTGGAGAACTATGTGTTGTTGATATCTGAGCTATCTGACATTAGTGTAGATATTTAGATGATGTACTATAGGGTTAGGTTAGGTTGGGTTAGGTTAGGTTGGGTTAGGGTTATCATGTTCTGTAGCATAGACTTTTAAAGTGTCCCAATTATGCTTTTTGGATTTCCCTTTTTGCTGAAACGCCTCCAGTGGACTCCTATGTTTACTTCTCTAACATTATGACATCACTATGTAGCACTTGAGCTTTGATTGGCTAGCGCTTCAACACATTGTACGTGATAGGTCTAATTGTGTGGTTTCAGACAGAGGGTGAAAAGAGGTGCTGCAGCACAGGCAGTATGAGAAAAATGTCCCAGTAGAGACACTACATACTAATATGAAGCTGAAAGTCAGCATAATAGGGCCCCTTTAACTACAGATATTTTACATTTTTAATAGATCTACTTGAACTGTCAGTATTATTACTTTACAGTCGAATGTTTGGCTTAAGATTCAGGTGTACTGATCAGAAACGTGACACGAAAACAGGAAAGAAGGCAGTTCAGGGAATAGAAAGTGAGAGACACTTTAAACTGCTTTCAATGCGAGCTCTGCAGAGTCAGAGGTGTGAGGGAAAAATAAAAACTTTAATTGTCTCCCGTGAGGTGAGTTTGGCTCTTGTTATATCTGGACCAACAGCCGGAACACAGGGCAGGCTCCCTCAGGACAGCAGAGCCCTTTGTTTCCAGGCTGGAAGGAGCAAAGAGGACAGAGAAGCGAAAATACTAAATCTATGTTTCTCACCACAGATAGAGACATCTTTTTTCAGATTTGTTTCTTTGACTTTATTTGTCTGCAGGAAATCATTATTGGGGTATATCGCTCTATTTTCTTTAGCTAGGATGTGGAGAAACTAAGTATATTCAGGTAAGTCTTGTGCTGTACTCTGCTTTAAGTTATTGTTTTCATACACCTATATACTTCTATTTCACTATATATTACCAGCAAGCACTTTAGACTCCAATACATTTATGTCACCGCTGCAGTTACTACTTAGCTTTAATATTAATCTCTTATTACAACACATATGATAAGCTCATAAAATACATATTCTTGTTAACGAATGTCAGAACATGTCAGATGTCTATGAGTTGTGGGCTGTTCCACCAAAGTGGTCGTATTATGCTAAATGTCACAAATAAAGCAGAGATTAGGGAATGAAACCAGATTTTGGTTGTTTGGAAACATGCTTATAATCTTTCTAATTACACGCCGATTGGCTCTTATCTAGATACTGCCTTGATATCTTAACTTTTATGACAACCACCCCCACTCCCATTGCTCCATGGGCGTTGTACAATAGCTGCCCATTGCTCCTACTACTAGGATGGGTTCAAAGCAGAGAACACATTTCACTGTGTGTGCTGTGTGCTCTGCATGTGTGACCATTACAGAGGGTTTCATCCCTCCAATTCTTCTTACCAGCTCTGAAATATTGTACAATATCCCAATGGAAGTACAAATGTCTGCTGTTAGTGGAGTTCATAATGATACCGCAGAACTTTCTACTTTCCTCACATTCAGATATCTGTATATAATGTAGTGAAAACTAGCTAGGCTGCTCTAACTGTAGTCCGTCATAATTGACATCTAATAATGTGGTGCGTCTTTGACTGCTTATTACTTTATTCTACTTTTACTTGAAGGGGAGTGAGTTAACATGTGTATTGATACTTGAACTTTAAACACAATTTAGACATGTAAAGTATGGTGTAGTTTAATCGTGGGTGTGTTTGTTGTTGTTGTTAAAAGACCTTTTCTTGGACTCGTTCATTTTGGTTTCTAAGCCCACGATACAACTGCATATTGCCATAAAAGCGCTACACTTGGACCTCCTGATTGAGAGCTGGGAAGCAGTCCATTCAGTCAGTCTGTGTGTAGAACTGTTGTTAGCTCCAAAACCAAAGTGCACGGCTGTCAACAACATCATTAGGGGTCATTAGTCTGATATTAAGACCTTATTAGACATGACTTACGGTACCAGCAATTTGTCATTCAAACCATGAGAAACACAAGTACATTTCCTTAATTAAAAATAGGAGGGACCTTATAAAATGATTTGTTTTAATTCTAAAATTCAAAAATGTAACAAACAACAGGCTCGGTCAAGCCTGGGGCCCATTTACACGTGTCATCCTTTCTGTCTCACCTTTTCAGTTCTGTCTCTATAATGAAGGCACTGGAGACCCAGCCAAATAATCTTTAAAAAAACAATCACCACTGTGCGAGTGTTCATATCAGTAAATCCAACTGCCTCAGAGCTGAATTTACTTCAGCACAAACCCTCCTGTGACCAATTTTGACTGCAAATAAGTGCAGCTTAGAATCAATATGAACTGACTGTTAACAACGAATCAAACTTGTCTGTTGTTCAGGAGCAGAGCAGGTTCTGCTGCTGGCTCGAAGGACGGACCTCCGGAGGATCTCACTGGACCTGCCTGACTTCACTGACATAGTGCTACAGGTAAGCCCACACACACAACCGCACATACGCACACACTCTCTTTCAGGTATTTATCATTGTTCCTCTGCTCATGCAGGTCGATGACATTCGCCATGCCATAGCTATAGACTATGACCCAGTTGAGGGTTACGTCTATTGGACAGATGATGAGGTTCGGGCCATCCGCCGATCCAACATTGACGGCAGCAATGCCATGATGCTGGTTACCACGGAGATCAACCACCCAGATGGCATTGCTGTTGACTGGGTGGCCAGAAACCTGTACTGGACCGACACCGGCACTGACCGGATCGAGGTACATCTTTACACAACAACAGTTCCACCAGTTATATTAATCTTAAAACCAGTGTTTAAGCAAAATATAAATATCTACAATACTGCTGTTCGACCACATTATTCCTGTATGTATATGCATATATCTCCATTCAGGACTAACTGGTTTAATGTGGCATTTCAGGTAACCAGGCTGAATGGAACGTCTCGAAAAATTCTGATTTCTGAGAATCTGGATGAACCCAGAGCCATCGTCCTGGACCCCGTCAATGGGTAGGGTTAGCCTCTGTCTATGCATGGGGTATATATTCTGGGGAGAGTGGACATTAAGATTAAAAAATATATATCAAAAAACCTTTTAGGCCAACGAACAAAAGCTAGTGTAGACAATTTTTTGCAACATTTAGATGCCCATGTTGGGAATTAAAAGACAAACCACTGAGTGCTGCAGGAATGAGTCCTAAAACCCTGAAATGAGTTAGCATTTTACCACTTCCGGTTTCCTCATCACAAAGTTGAATGTGTTTTTGGTTAGATGCCTGAAATAAGATCTATGGTTAGCAAAAGCTGAAGAGACTTTTTTCGATTTTTACGACATAAAATACGTCAGTAAATTCCCCTCTGTTGAATATCCGAATCTTCTATGTGTCATGAAAACTGCTGTTTCTAACAATTGTCTAATTAAGAAATGTCATCACGCCAAACATTAGCCTCCTTTAGCTTAGCGGTGGTGATTAAAAAAATCATGTGAGTGTGAAGTACGAGAAGGATAGACTTTATGTATGGAGGCGTGTGGCGCAGTGGAGTAGTGCAGTGGAGTAGTGCGTTGGTGTTGGGATCAGGGGAGCACAGGTTCAAACCCCACTGCAGTCAGCATGTCGTTGTGTCCCTGAGACACTTCACCCCAAATTGCTCCTGTGGGGATTGTCCACAGTATTGAGTATGTAAGTTGCTTTGGATAAAAGCGTCTAACAAGTAACATGTCATGTAATGTACTCAGTGGAAGATGTGTAAATTGTACAAGAAGTCATTGCATTTTGTCTCATTGCCTCTGTCTCTTTCAGCTTTATGTACTGGACGGACTGGGGCGAACATCCTAAGATCGAGCGGGCCCACCTGGATGGAACGGAGCGGCTGGTTCTGCTTAACAGCTCTCTGGGCTGGCCCAATGGACTGGCTATAGATCACGCTGCAGGAAAGCTCTACTGGGGAGATGCAAAAACTGACAAGATAGAGGTATGTCTTCAAAACATCTATGCATGGTTTCACTAGCTGAAAGACAGGGCAGAGAGGAAATGATCAAGAAAAGATGAGGTGGAATGAGGATACATTAGATGTGTTATGCAATAGCTGGACAGCCTCATGCAGCCTTGTGTAAGGTGGTTGTCGTCGTTGTGTGTGGTCCGGTTCGTCTCCTTTGTTTGATTGTTTGTTTATTTAGATCCCCATTAGCTACTGTGCTGCAACAGTGGCTATGCTTCCCGGGGGTCCCATTCAAAACTTTAACAGAAATACATCAATTAACATCCATAACATTCATACTCACAATAAGGCGCCGTTTACACGAGGAGAAAACTGCTTGTATCTGCATAGTTTCGCGTGCGTATAGCCCTATTATTTACACGAGGCCGATAGAAACTGACCCCACAAACGATAACGGGTCCCAAGGTGGATAGATTTGCAAACGAAACGCTCTGGGGGGTCAACCGAGTCCGTGTAATCACCTCTATACGAATATTTCCTGGAAAAATAACGATAGCCCCGCCTCTCCCCACCTCTCCTGCTCACTGCTGTAGCAACTATCAAAAATAGCTGTGTTAATGAAACGCACAAGGGGTTCTTGAATGAAATAATATTATAAAAGGCAAACCAGAATAGTTAGCGCCCAATATACTCCTTAAACAAAATAAACAGAGTCAGATTTCATGCATTGATCCATTATATTGACAATTTTTCAGCCAAACAACACAAACAAAATTAAACAGTCCGCTCTGCGATACACCAAACTTGTCTTTACTGCCTAATCCAGGCCATTATTGTTCATTGCTCCTGCGCCCGTCGGCGGCAAAAAGAGAAATGTTTGTAGGCAGAGGACCGGCGTGTCCCAGAGGAGCGATCTCACCCGGTGTTTGTAGAGAATATCTCTCTTTCTGAGCGTGTCCTCTCCACAGAGACGTGCTTCTTGGTCGGTCGATGCAATATCCACAGATTCGGTTTCTTTCAGTTAACTTCCCCGTTGCATTTATCCATATGCTGAGGAAATGACTATATCCCGCTGAATACCAGCAATCGCCACACACACTTCCTCCTGTCAGTAGCTACTGCTAGTGCTACTGCTACTGACCATGCTACAGATATTAGTGCAAAATATACAGCTCCTCTACCACAACCATCAGCAACAAGTGGACATGGAGAATTACATGAACTACATGTTGCTAAATACACCGTGGGGCATAAACAGAAGGGTAGCCATGGCAACATTGCTGCGGGGCTGCTCCGGAGTCTTCTTCGCTGCTTTTGGTGTATTTTGTGGCGGAAGTTACAGCGCCACTTACAGTCCCGGCATATGTACTACAGCGTTTCCAGCGGCCTCGTTTGAACAGACACGTTAAATGAAACGAATGCATGTGAACGGAAGACTTTTTTGAATACGCATACTGTGCATAAACGCAAACGTTCCCGTGTGCACAACGCCTAAGACTCAACCACCAAGACACACAGCAGACAACACCAATTCAAAGCCTTTCTGATACATCCTCTGACGTGTTGCACATTCTCTGACAGAGTGTCAAATGACTGTGTATTTTTTCTAATGAGACACAGGAAAGAAGGTAATTTAGGGGCTACAATCAAAAACATGTTTTTCTTCTTCCAATATTAAAGGTGGGGTAGGTAAGTTTGAGAAACCGGCTCGAGATACACTTTTTGTTATATTCCATGGAATGCTCTTAACATCCCGATAGCAATGAATATCTGAAGTGCTTTGACAAAACATCCATAAAAAAATATAATCTGTGGAAGCCGTAGTACTGTAAAAAGCACGACCAATCATTTTTCGCTGGCCCGGCTAAAATAACTGGATGGCCTACCTGCCTGTCAGCCTTCCATCTGTGCACAAACTTATCTCGTGCCCTCATTGGTCATGTGCGCGTTCGTGTGTGTTGGAGGAGGGGCTCTATAAGGAAGTGGCAGATTTTCTCCGGTTGTGTATTTTCAAATTCTAGCGATCTCGAGCCGGTTTCTCAAACTTACCTACCCTACCTTTAAGAATTGACTCTTTTGACTGATCCCTTAAGTGAAAAATATCTGATCATGAATGATTGAAAGATGACCTAAAACATGTTATGTCAGACAATGTCAAAATAGTGGCTGTGTGTTTGAGACGTAGCTGTGACACAAGAAATGACTCCATGCTGACAGCTGCCATCTTGTCATTTATTCCATTGAGCAGGAGTGATTCAGGCTGATAGGTTAGGGCTTGGCTCTGCTGCATTGTGTTGAATGTAGTGTGTATTGGAGCTTTGAACCTACAGTACTACCCTCCAGTGTGACTGACCATGCAGTCATGCAGGACAGTCGCTCTGTTACACACACTTATATACCTCTGACTGTGTGGAAATGTTATTTTACATAACAGAATGAACGAAGGCATTAAAAAGTAATGCGTGTCTTGCAGGTAAATCCTAAGACTAATGCAGGCTGATATAAGAGCATATTCATTTTTAGATTTTTTAAAATATTTGTAGGTACATCTTGTCAACTTATTTGTTTGTGCCCTAAAATTGAAACTATTTGGTGTTCCATAATTTTCAAAGCGAAATTATGAAAGTGTTTAGATATTTTAGCATGGTTTGAAAAATGAATGTTCATTTTGCCATTGGAGAGATGATCATATGTCTTAAGAGGAACTCTCCTGTCAGGAACTGGTCCCCAATAGCACTATATATAAAAGAGGAATAGTTGAGTGCTATAACTATGGGGGAGACATAACAGAACGCTGCCTCTGTTTGTGTGTTGGTGTATTCCACCTAAAGAATATTTGTAGGTTAGGTGTATAAAAGAAAATGCTACTTGGTCAGCTTGACAACCAGTGCTGAGAAAACACCAGTCGCTTTATATAGCTACTAATATCTACGCACTATCTCCATTTTCTTCCAACAATTTATTAGTGTACTCGGTTGAGAAAGCAGTAAGAGTGTGGAGTTCAGCCCAGTCTGAGAGGCAGAGGACTGGGGGGGGGTTGTTCTCGCTGCCCTTCCCCCTCTCCCCAAGGCTTCCAGAGCTCTTTCAAAGCAGGTGCTCTCCATTCTCTCTATCAATATCACACACTGTCTGTTTTTTAGACATTACAATAACTAAAGAGACCTCTTCGGCTCTCTCTTTCCTTTGAGTTTATTCAGCTTCTTACTACTCAGTTTAGTTTTTCAAACTATTTCATACTCCTGTCTCAGATGTTGTGTGGTTATCGTTTCTCTGTGATGTGGTGGCTGTTTCTACGGAATTGGACAAGTTTACTAGTGGTATTTTCATAGCTGCAGAGAGAAGGAGAGAGAACACTAGAACAAAATAGTGAATGCCTGAGCTTTCTGGCTGAATGCTTACCAATTGGAAAGGGGTGGGTGCTCCCTCTGCCCCCCCCTCTCTCTCTTTTTCTCTCTCTCTGCCAGGGTGAAAGGACCCACCTCAAAGGGTTTTTTACACGTTTCATCCTTGTTTTTATGCCGGTGAAAAGAAATTAGTGCTGGGTGTGAAGAAATGTCTATTGTATGTGTGCCTGCGTCTCTCTCATGTCCGTGTGGAGTGTGATTTAGTTCACAGTTTCTTGTTACACGAGGCTACTGTACGATTTTAATACATTTCTCTTTTGCTGAATGTACACCTCGATGACTAAACTATGGATTTACTGGAGATGAGCAACTTATCTTGTCTTATTTTTGCTTTAGTCGTCCATCATCCCTTTCAGTATTAGTGGTATTAGAGTGTTACGCTTGCCTAACCAATTGCTAAAAAAATGGTAACACAAGGATAATGACCTTCTTACTGGCTAAATAGAAAATGTATGACAAAGCTCAGCAACACTCAGGTGTGTTTGCATTTATATTCTCTATTTTGACTTTTGTCTCACTTGAGTATGTTCCATCTCTAAAAGTTTGTCCATCTATCCCAGAAGTGAGTTTGCATTAAAGAACTTAATCACAGTAGATAATAACAGCTAAAAGAATCAAATGTCACACAGACAACCGAAGTGTCTGTGTGACCACATATACCACACAACAACAAATCATTGATTAATTGGTTTGAATATAGTATTCAAAAATAAAAATTCAATATGATTTGATTATTGATGGCAAAATAATAGAACCAGACATAATAAAATCAACAATAAAATAATAAAGAAAGAAAGGAAACATGACTGTAAAAAGAGTGTGTATGTGTGTATGTCCTTATGTTAGGAGATATTGATTTATATATACTTGGATTTATCTCTAAGCAATACATGTTAAAGGTCACTATCTTTGGAACTAAAGCAAAAAATAAGATAATAGAAATCTGTAACTTTATTTATATTAGTTTCTAATTATGAGACACTACTCACAACTTGTCTTTGTCTTAAGTTACCTGCTGATGAATTGATATATCTTAGAACATCATATAACATACGGTATTGGTGTGTGTGTGTGTGTGTGTGTGTGTGTGTGTGTGTGTGTGTGTGTGTGTGTGTGTGTGTGTGTGTGTGTGTGTGTGTGTGTGTGTGTGTGTGTGTGTGTGTGTGTGTGTGTGTGTGTGTGTGTGTGTGTGTGTGTGTGTGTGTGTGTGTGTGTGTGTGTGTGTGTGTGTGTGTGTGTGTGTGTGTGTGTGTGTGTGTGTGTGTGTGTGTGTGTGTGTGTGTGTGTGTGTGTGTGTGTGTGTGTGTGTGTGTGTGTGTGTGTGATGGGAGCCAGCTGAAAACTAAACAGCGCCCAGCATTTTACCTTTTGAGAGAAAGAAGAGAGGGAATGATAAATGACCGAGGCAGACCGAAGACTTTCTCCAAGAACCCTGGAGGAATGCTCTCTCTCCCTCTCTGTCTCTTTCTCCATCGTGTTTTCAAGTCTCTTTTAAAGAAATCTGACTCCCCCTCTGCAAACTCCCACCCCTCCCCCTCCACTGTGGAAAAAAAAAAAACCTCTGAAGTTACCGCACCCCCTGCCCCTCCTTCAAATAGGAGTGTGTGTGTGTGTGTGCGTGCGTGAATG